TTTTGTTAGTTTTGTTTTCTGTTTTTTTTATACTTTGCTTTCTTTTAGTTTCCTATTATTTTAGTTTTAGTAAATTACCAAAGTGGCACCTAAATAGGATTTTACAAATTATGCCACTGCCACAATAGTTTAATACTTATAACAATTTAGTTTTGAAAATGTTTATTATTTTTAAAGCATTAAAATAATTGTTTTTGCTACTCTTTTATTCATTTAACAGTATTTAAACATTTTATAAAAGTGTGGTTTCTCCACCATAATTATCTATGCAATATTTGGTTCACTCCGAACATTTTAGTTTTAATATTTGAAAACTTTTATTGTTTGCCTATTTTTGAATTTGAATTTGAATCGGTTTCGAACTAACTCGAGATTAGCAACTATAAACGAGATGACGTGGCACCATTAGCAGAGGATCACTGTAGCTTAATTACCCGGGCGTCACACTTTGGAAGCTCAAAGTTGTGCCAAAGGTGAGAGTTTTTTGATCGAGAGTAATCCGTGGAATTCTCCCTGATGAAGCTACCGTAAAGCACAAACATATCAAACCTCTAAGCATATGTAATGTATGCCTGGCAAAAGAGGAAGATTTGATGCATGCGTTGGTGTCATGCTCGTATGCTAGACGTTTCTGGGATGAGGCCCAATCTTGGTTTGATTTCCGCCTACCAAGGTTGCATCCCAGTACTTGGTCAAGAGATATTCGTTGTGATGAACGCTTCATGGATCAGGTACGCACAAAGATTATTTCAGTAATGTGGGCAATTTGGACCTCGCGTAACCAGTGGACACATGAGAAGGAGCACACCGATCCGGAGTAGTCTGTTCGCCGTATTCGGGGGGATCTCACAGTCCTGGAAATTCCATGTGTCGATGCATCCATCCTTCTAGGTCATGGGCGGAGACCGCCCGAACTTGGCTTTGTCAAGATCAATACTGATGGCGCCATCAACTCAGATTCAGGAGTGGCAGGGGCGGGGGTGTTGCCCGCTCTTCGACTGCCCTTCTAGCAGCATGGTGCAAGCCGCAGGTTTGAATTACCGACCCGCTCGTCGCCGAGTCCTTGTCACTACGAGAGGGAGTCCTATTCGCAAGTCTTAGGGGCTACTCACATGTGATTATGGAGACAGACCGTCTGAAGATTGTGAATCTCTAGAACGATCGCCACAACACTTGCTCGATTGTGGCTCCTATTTTGCTAGAGATTGGAGAGCTTACCTTGTCGTTTGATTATTTTACTATTCACATGTAAGTAGGACAACTAATCTCCCGGCGCATCTAAGTGCGAAGCGTGCCTGCTCGATTACGGTGACTGAGAGTTGGTTGGACTCAGAACCCTCGTTCCTGGTCACGAGCCTTTTGGCAGATGATCGCAGGAGCTCTTTTGTTTGAATAAAGCTCTCATGTTTCCCTGCAAAGAAAAAAAGAGAATAGGACCTATCTCTAGCTTTTTTTCAGAATCTTCAGCCCCCATTCTTTTTACAGTCCATGGCACTAGAGAAAGAAACGCACAATACGATACTTAATATTCTGTTTTTTTTCAGTCTATATGCTCAATATTCCGTTCCGTGCTGGGAGAGAAGAAAAAAAAGACGGATGAGGCCTAATATCTTCAACAACAAAAAAAGGCCGTTGCACCATCAGTGTTTGGGCCATTATAGCCTTCTCGAAGTCCACTCAAGGCCCTGCCCGGCCCGGCTTAACTATTAGTAGCCCACACACCATTTCCTCGCACATTTTTCCGCTTTCCTCCATCGCAGGAAACGACCACACGATGGCGTCTTTCTGCCGCTCCGCCGCCGCCGCGGCCAGGTCGGCTGCGCTCCGGTCCAAGTCCCGGATCGCGAGCCCGTTCCCGGCAACGAGGTCTCCCGTTGCCGCTCCTCGCCTCCGCAGGTCATTCCTGAAATCCCCAACCCTTGTGTCGTCCCACCACTAAACTCGCTCCAGAGGTTTTCAATCCTGCTGCTCCTTCTCTCAGGTCCACGGTGAAGATGCTGGCGGGCGCGGAGTCGCTGATGCCGCTCCACAGCGCGGTGGCTGGCGCGCGGCTACGGTCGTGCATCGCCGCCGACTCCTCCTGCTGGAGCTGCCTCTCCCAAGGTGAAGTCCACCCCCTGCATGCATCCAGTTCGTTTCGTTTCTGTTATAACTGAATGCCTAGTCGTGCTAGTTTGATTGGCTCTGCTTGTGATGATGATTTTCTACTATCTAATGCTGGAATTGCAATGGTTTGTTTCCTGAGAGACCAGTCAGCTAAGATGTGATATATTCTAGGATATGATATTTCTGCCCAATTTTTGTTAGCTTGTGCGCATAAGATATATCATTAGTTCATTACATTGGTGTGAATGTGTCGTGAAGCTGTTGGTTTTATCAGTTTATGTATGGCTCTCCTCTATGGATTCCAGTGGGCCTTGGAGAGCATTGTCAGGCTTGTCCATGGTAAATTATAAATTAGATGTGAATGTTTCTGTCTCTCTGCCTATGTATGTTATGCTTTTGTACTTGGCAAGCTAAGCACCATTGTTTGTTAGCAAGTAAGAGCAAATGATCAATTGCTCGGTCTGTTGCCTTTAGCTGGATATGTATAGCTGTTTATTGTCTAATTGTGCTTCTTCTTGCATAAGGGTTTTAACGAGATATGTACAGCTTTTCATTGTATGTTGGAGAAGACAAGGTTGCAGAATTATTGGGCTCATTTTTCTTCTTTAATGCTGTTTTCTAATCCGAGGAGTCACTTTCCAAAATTCACCCTCGGAATATTTACAGCTATCCAGTTTTGCTATATGAAAATTATATCACTAGCTTCTTAAAGTTATTCGTAATCTTATAATTTATACCAATGTGTATGCTGTGTAATGATGAACAAAAGTGTGTCTCAGAACTGTCAAAACTGAAAGTATGTTATTACATCATTTAAAAAAGAATAGAGGGAGTAACTTTTAGTATATAATGCATCAATTGCATGCTTGTTGTTTACTTACATTTTCAACATTCTCATTTCTGTTTTGGTAACCATCCTGGTAGGTTTGATCAAGCGCATCTGACATTGGCTAGGAGCGTAATGTTGAAGAGCATGGATCACTTGCTCCTGTGTCATTTTCAAGATATTTTCTTTCTTCTCTGAAGAATAGGATATGTCAGTGTGCATTAATCAAATTTTGTTGAAAAAGTTGCAGATCTAATCTGTTGGTGACTCGTTCACAACTATTGTTTAATTTCACTCTATGCAATAACAGAGTTACCGCAGTTCCTTAACGTAATGTTCGTTTTGTGGACACCTTGAATCTTAACACTGGGTGGTATTACGGGGTTTGTCGTTTTCCAGCCTTGCGTGTATATTGGCTGGGTCTTTAAATTCATCTTATGTGTGCCATTCCTACAAGACAAAAACGCCTACAAATTGAAAAAGTCCAGGTCAAAATCCTACGGTGGTGATCATGTTTACAATTCCTTTTGTTTATTTATGTTCTTTATTGGTTGGTTTCTGATATTCAGTAAGGAGACATCTCTTTTTCTTCTTCTCTTCTCATTGAGCTTTGTCGTTTTGTTTTGATACAACGCATTAGACTTTGCTCTTCCTCGGTGACGAAGGCTGAAGAGGTGGGCATCCTACTAGGAACAGCACTCAGGATGGATCTTATTTATATGCTAGATGCTCGGCTTGGCGAGTCCATGGCTACAGAGATACTGAACTTTGTTTTGTGACTCGGTGTTCGGGTGCGTTCTTTAACTAGTAGGGTTCTGGTGGTTGAAATGTCCTTTTCTCTGTATCAACTGTTGGTCTTGTGCCTAATCTGAACATGAGTTTCGTTCTTCATGAAGACAAAAGTTGAAGTTTCTCCTTCATCCTGATCACACGTTCACCTCACTCTTTGTTGTTTTCCTAAAAATAAAAATCTCATGCTGACAGACCAGTTATTTTTTTCTGCCGGCTTGCCATTATTATTCAGTGATTATGATTAGTTAAGTTAGCAGACTACGGCAGGTTTATTATTTTCTATTTGGCCGGCTTATGTTTGTCCTACATAATTACCTGTTCCTTTGCCGGCCTACCTGTGCCCTCACATCGAATCAATAGTCCGTCCAAATTTTCCCAGTTGGAGAAGGAAGGACGCGGTACTACTTAAGAAGTGAGTTGATACATTCCCTTATCTTTACGTGCTAGCTTCCAGTTCTGCCATTTGCCAATTTCCAGTAGTGTGCTCCGGCATCGGCGATGGCCAAGATCACAGGAACAGCCACATGTGCTCTCTTCATCTTCTTCTCCTTCGCTTGCTGCCTGCCTCCTCTTGCTGGATCCTTGTCCTTCGACTACCCAACCTTCCGCTCGGAGGACCAGAAGGCCATCAAGATCGAAGGTAACGCTTCCTTCAGTGTCGGGCACATCGACATTAGCGGCAACAACTGGGACGTCCGTAAGAGCCAGGGGCGGGCGTCGTACAGTACCCAGCCAATGTTGCTGTGGGATGGGCACACAGGCGAGGTGGCTAGCTTCACCACCAGCTTCTCCTTCATCATCAACCCCAAGTCCAACAGCAGCAGGGGGGCTGGCATGGCCTTCTTCCTTGCCAGCTACCCGTCGAGCTTACCGACTGGGTCTGCAGGTTACTACAACCTCGGTCTCACGAACCAAAAAGATGGTGCTGTGGCGGCAGGCGAAAACCGGTTCGTGGCGGTGGAATTCGACACCTCCAATGAGACCGAGGTATCAGATCCCACTGTGGACCACGTTGGCATTGACATCAACTCGTTAAAATCGGTGAAAACATTGCCCCTGCCAAACTTCAGCCTCACTGGAAACATGACTGCCGCAATCCAGTATGACAACGTTTCAAGTATCATGTCTGTCACACTATGGCTTGGTGATGGTCATGGCCAGAATTACAGCCTTAGCTCCAAGGTTGATCTCAAGAGGGCATTGCCGGAGCTGGTTGCGGTTGGCTTCTCGGCGTCGACGGGCAAATCCGTTGAGCTGCATCAATTGCTTTCTTGGCACTTCAACTCATCGCTGGAGGGCAAGACGGCAACAGTAGTAGCACCGCCGGTACTACCACCACCCTCCTCGAGAACTTCCAGTTCCGGAGTCATAGCAGGAGCCGTTGCTGGGGCATCGCTGTTCCTCGTGGTGTTCTTCTCCATGTCAGCCTTCTTGCTACGTCGCCGTCAGAACAAGAAGAAGAGGGAGGCAAAGGAGGAGGATATGGACTCGGAAGGCGAGGTGATCATGGAGGTAGAGTTCGGGACGGGGCCAAGGAGGTTCCCGTATCGGCAACTCACCAACGCGACACGGAACTTTGCAGCGGAGGAGAAGCTCGGGCAAGGTGGCTTCGGTGCGGTGTACAGAGGCCACCTGAGAGAGCTTGGCCTCCCCGTGGCCATAAAGCGATTCTCCAATGAGTCATCCATGCAAGGGAGAAAGGAGTACACGTCGGAGATCAATGTCATCAGCCGGCTGCGCCACCGGAATCTGGTGCAGCTTGTTGGCTGGTGTCACAACCACGATGAGCTCCTGCTGGTTTACGAGCTCATGCCCAACCGTAGCCTCGACATCCATCTCCACGGCAAGGGTACCTTCTTGACATGGGCGATGAGGTAACATCTTTGTTGCACGGCGTTCATTCATCTTAACGTGAGTTTGGCATCTCTTGGAGCTCATGAATGGATGATCATTGCAACAGGATGAAGATAGTCCTCGAGCTTGGCTCTGCACTGCTCTACCTCCACGAGGAATGGGAGCAATGCGTGGTGCACCGGGACATCAAGCCCAGCAACGTGATGCTGGACGAGTCCTTCGGCGCCAAGCTGGGCGACTTCGGGCTCGCGAGGCTCATCGACCACTCCGTCGGGATGCAGACGATGACCATAGTTTCCGGTACGCCGGGCTACGTGGACCCCCAGTGCCTGATTACAGGCCGCGCCTGTTGGAATAATTATGCATCTCTGGGATGCCATTAGCAGGAACAGATTGCACCTAGATCACCTCACAACATGAACAGAGAAGGGTTTAGGGTTTCTTTACATGTCACGGGAGTGGACATGATCGCCTGCTCGGTGCAAGCGTGATGCAGGGGTGATGTAGTCGAAGTAGATGTTCTCCTCGACGTCCTGATTCCTTCAGGACGCCACCGGCACTGCCCAGGGACAGCGGCGGCGGCTGGCTTAGGTCTTCCCGTCGCTGCAGCACCCCCCCTGATCGGATGGGGTGAGAGAATATCGGGAGGAGAGTAAACCTTACGTGAATTGTGATCTCGCAGGTGCCCAGCTCTCTCCCGTATCCCTTTTAATATGGCGCTGGCGACAGGGGACCCAAAACCTGAGTTGGTTTTTGGGCGCCCCCGATCAGGGCGCGTTAGTTCTGATCGAGGCTCACGTACGTTGGTACGTGGACCCCTTCACTTATCGTTATCCCTTTATCTTTTTTTTTTCTTCTGTTAGACTAATAGATCTAACTGGCCTGTTTAAGCCGTCAGATCAAAACCAACATTCTCCCCCTTGATCGTTAGGCTTAACTTCATTCGCCCATTCTACATAGGAATGATGTACCAAAGTGAGGTGTTACAACAGCTCAAAACGCCATAGAACCTCAACACTTATAGTACACCCGCCTATTTCGAAATGGAAAACATTTTACTAATTGGGGAGTGGTTTATTTTAATGGTCCTCTTATTCCAGAATCATCAGGCCTCCAGTAGTCCCATGCCGGCAACATGCTCACGAAAGATACTGGGTGGTAAGCCTTTTGTTAGCGGATCCGCAAGCATATGCTTCGTTCTTATATGTTTAACATCAACTGTTTGATCCTGGATTCTATCTTTCACAACACGATACTTTATGTCAATGTGTCTGGCAGCATTACTTGACCTGTTGTTACTCGTATAGAAAACTGCTGGTTCATTATCGCAGTACAATAAAATTGGTTTAGATATGCTGTCAACCACTTTAAGTCCGGGTATAAAATTCTTTAGCCATACAGCCTGCCCGGTGGCCTCATAACATGCTACAAATTCTGCTTGCATCGTAGATCCAGCAGTTAACGTTTGTTTGGAGCTTTTCCACGATATAGCTCCTCCCGCGAGTGTGAATATATAACCTGACGTGGATCTCATACTATCCACACACCCGGCAAAATCAGAGTCTGAATAACCAACAATTTCTAGGTTATCAGTTCTTTTATATGTAAGCATGAAGTCCTTAGTTCCTTGCATATAACGCAAGACTTTCTTTGCGGCCTTCCAGTGGTCCGGTCCTGGATTTGATTGGTATCTGCCAAGCACCCCAGTTACAAAACATAAGTCTGGGCGTGTACACACTTGAGCATACATGATGCTTCCAACAGCTGAAGCATAAGGAACCGACTTCATCTGATCAATTTCACATTGGTTCCTCGGACATTGAAATGTCCCAAACTTATCGCCCTTAACTATAGGAGCAGGTGAGGGTGAGCACTTATGCATATTGAATTTTTTCAGTACTCTCTCAAAGTATGCCTTTTGAGATAGTCCTAACGTTCCTCTGGACCTATCTCGATGAATCTCGATGCCGAGGACATACGAGGCTTCACCAAGATCTTTCATATCAAAACTGGATGACAGAAAATTCTTGGTCTCATGGAGCATATCCTTATCGCTACATGCCAACAATATGTCATCAACGTATAGGACTAAAAATGTGAACCTACTGCCTTTAAACTTAATGTATATGCAGTTGTCCACAACATTTTCGGTGAAACCAAAAGTTTTGATAATTTTATCAAACTTGAGGTACCACTCTCTTGAAGCTTGCTTCAAGCCATAAATTGATTTCTTTAGACGACATGCTAAATGTTCCTTTCCTTCCACAACAAAGCCTTCTGGCTGAGCCATGTAGACATCTTCTTTTAAGTCACCATTTAGAAATGCCGTTTTAACATCCATTTGGTGTAGTTCCAGGTCGTAATGAGCTACTAATGCCATTATGATTCTGAAAGAATCCTTGGTTGACACAGGAGAGAAAGTTTGCTTATAATCAATGCCTTCTCTCTGTGTATACCCTTTTGCCACTAGCCTTGCCTTGAACCGTTCGACATTCCCTTTGGAATCATACTTGGTTTTGTAGACCCACTTGCAGCCTACTTTCTTAGCTCCATCGGGAACTTCTACTAAGTCCCATACATCGTTTGAGCCCATAGATTTCAACTCGTCTTCCATGGCAACCAACCATTTGGACGAATTTTCGCTTTTAATGGCTTCCTTATATGAGGTTGGATCCTCCACCTTTCCCATATCATTCATGTCCTCCATCAAAAAAGTGATATAATCATATGATATGGCTTTCTTCCTCTCACGCCGTGGTCTACCCATGGGCGGAGGTGGTGGTGGAACATCATCATTTTCATTATTTTCTCGGAGATCCTCATTTGTGTTTGGATTCTCATTATTAGTTTCTGGATCACCATTCGACTGAGAGACTGAACCGTGAGATTCAGGATCATCAGATGTCACATTTCTTCGTATTGGAAAAACAATCTCTTGGATAGTCGGGGATGGTACACAAACCCGCTTCTCCTCAAGATTGATCTCCCTTAAATTTGTGACCTCATTATCCTCA